TTAAAACGCTTAGGGAGCAGGTGATGCACCAGACAAATGTCTGTTACTACCTCGTCTACTAAACAGTGCAAGAAAAAATAAAGATTGAAATACAGTTTTCAATGATCAGTGAACTGTTGGAGTGGTTAGTGCTGTTGGCAGTTAGAAAGAATGGTGTTTACAAAATATCTTCCTGATTAGGGGTACAGAAAGGGGGAACTATTGGTTGAAATTCTTAACATGCATGTGGAGAAACCAATTTGAACTGGTTTGAACAACACATTTGGAAATGCATTTATAATTACTGAAGGAATAGTATTATATTCCAAAGGAAGGAATGTAGCAGTGCCCCAAGATGGGCTGAAATAGAAAACTGGAAGATCTGAGAAGACTTCATTCACTCTTCCTCTTGCTCACATCTGTACTTTTCTCAGTAAAATGTATTTCAATTTTTTTTTTTCCTCTTTGGAGAGTGACTTCTGTCCTCTCCTGAGTCCCTTTGAAAGATTACCACTCTCCTCTGCCCACAATAGCTCTGATTAAATGTTCATCTTTCTGGAGATCGTCTTTTTAAAATCCCAGTTCTTCATTTTTAAAGAAGGAACTCAAACCTTCCTGTGACTGGTTGCATTTCTGGAACATCAGATATTGGCAAGGGGTTGGGTCTTATTGTATAAACAGGATCCAATCCTGTGTGTGGGTGAGAGGACAGTTGGAGGGGCGGTTATTGTAAATTAAAAAGGAAGGTGAGTTCAAGGGATGCTAAAAATAGAAATCACAAATATTTATTTCATAACAGTAAATATCTGAGATTTTGCCCTGTTTTAGTAAGGAGTTGTGAGAGGCTGAGGTTTGTGACCGGCTCAAGTTTGATTTAAGTAGGCATTTGAATACAGTTAGGGGCAGATGTTAGTATAGAAAAGGGAAAAGTGGGATGGTTGGCACCATGAATTAGGAGACTGAAACATAATGGACTTAAAAAGACACAGAGTCTTTTTGAAATAGTTAACATGGACAAATTTCCTTTCTTTTTATTACAGAAAGATGATCTAATTAGTATACAAGTTCTTTCTTTTAGAAAATTACTCTTAAAAAAGTATTGTGTGAAAATATTTTAAATTGCAAAAGTTGACTCCATATAGTAAGATACTTTTGTATTACTAGAGATTTGCAAAGTGATTAGGATTTAAATTTAAGATTTCTTTTCAAAGTTTTGATTCACTCCTAAAGGACCTTTGATCCGGGGGCAGAAGAAACAAGCCGCTGCTACGGTGTAGTTTTAACATGTTCACATATTTATTTGTTGGAGGTATACTGGAAGTCACAGTTTTACTTACTGACCCAGAAAGAATGGAAAAGTTGGAAAAAAAAAGAAAAAGTTGAAAGAGCTGCGTGTGGTGGTAGAGGTGGAATGATGGCTGGCTCCTTACCATGTATGCCTTTAATTTAACATTTTTCCCACCTCGATAAGCACTAGGTATATTTTACTTTGGAAAACATCTGTCAGCAGTAGTGATTGCTGTTTCAAAACAATGTGAACATTTGGGGAAAATTATTACATAGGTTTTTCTTCATAAGTCTGAAGGCAAATATAGGGAGGAAAAACTTATGTGTAAGTAAACTTATCTAAAAATATGTTGTGTCACTCTGGTAAACTTCATTTTTTCAGAAATAAGAATTGTACTTTTTTTTGAGGTATAACTAACATTAGTTCCAGGTGTACAATGTAGTAATTTACTATTTGTATATATTGCAAAATGATTACCACATTAAGTCCAGTTAACATCCGTCACCATACATAGTTACATATTTTTTTTCTTGTGATGAGAACTTTCAAGATCTGCTCTCCTAGCTACTTTCAAATATGAAATACAGTATTATTAACTACAGTCACCATGCTGTACATTATACACTCCCTCAACTTACTCATTTTATAACTGGAAATTTGAAGAAAGGTACATTTGAAGTCCTTTTTAGATTTCAAGATTATGAGTTGATTTTATTTGGAGTTTGATGCAAAGGTCTGAGACTTAACTGAGGAATTGGAACCTGAAGAACTAAGGATAGAGGTAGGCTTCTGAGCACAGTAGCCAGGAAACTGGGTGACTAGGAGGAATCTGACCAATAGTGTTGCCTGTACATAGACATAGCTCTCTAGCTGGGCTTCTCGGGACTTCCCATGGTGAAGGGTGGGAACTCCCAGGGCAGATATGAAGACTTGAGGCTCACAGGCTTAGCTCTCCCTGAGGGAGAATATACATCTTCATCATGGAAGAACCTCAAGGTACCTGCTACTATATGGGTACTTGATTGTGGCTTTGTGGACAAAGAGAACTTACTTCCTGGACACAGGGAAGGTTGCGTTTTACATCATCTATTTTATTGAGGTCTAATGGGAAGGGCCTAGAATCTTAAATCACAAAGTCTATATTCTAGTTTCAGCCCTGACTAAGGGCAGGGATCATATCTGTGCCACTCACTACTACGTAACTACTGCCTGATATAGTGATTGACATGTAGTAGGCACTCAGTAAATATTTGAGTGAATTAATAATACCTGGATGTATAACCACGGAAGAGTCCCTTTAGCTGTCTGAGTTTCACTTTTTTTTCCTTCACCTATAAAAAAGGAAGTTTCAATTCAAGTAGGTCTCCAGTGCTCAAATATTACATTAAAAGTTAGATACTGTCATTTTAGATAATCAACTCCATTGTAATCACCAATGCAAACTTAGGCATTGAAATCAGGTGGCATTTCTTGGTTTCACAGTAGTTAGGCATATAGGTGCTGTACATAATTTTTGTAGTATCTCCAAAACAAAAGCAACATTGAACATTTCTTATAAAAAGTTCTTATATAGAAAGCAGTTGTAGCAAAATACTAGTACTTAATGAATCTAACAACAGAAGGTGAATGTTTAGTAAAGATAAGGTGTCTGGAGATTCTTAAGTTCTTTTAAATATTTAGTTGATAGAGATTTGTCTCCCTTTGCAAAAATTTCATACTTTTTAGGGACTTAATCTTATGTGAAATTTTCATTTTAAATGTAGAAGTAGTATTTGTAAAGAAAGAGTGATGAATTTCTCACTCCCTCTTTTCTTTTTTTAAATGAGTTTTCTTACATTGAGATTTACTAATATTTGGACTGGTTCTCCCTGTCAGATATAAACTTGATGCTGTTCCCTTGGGGTGGTGGTGGTTGGTATTTTTTTTCCTCGATGACACTGTGATTGATAAAGCTGGCACCTCAGGTTTCCCTCTACTGTAACTTAATTACTGATAACTGCTATCTTCATACCAAGTGGTACCTTCGTCGTTTTATATTGTCTTTTTAATGATAGACATCTTAACAGGTATGAAGTGATAACTCATTGTTTTGACTTGCATTTACCTGTTGATTAGTGATGCTGAGCGCCTTTTCATTTACCTGTTGGCCATTTGTATGTCGTCTTTGGAAAAGTGTTTATTAAAGTTCCTTTGCCCATTTAAAAATCAGATTATTAATCTTTTGGCTATTGAGTTGTATGAGTTTCTTTTGTATTTTGGATATTTGCAAATATTTTCTCCTGTTCTGTAGATTGCCTTTTCATTTTATTGATGTTTTCTTTTGCTGTGCATGCAGAAGCTTTTTAGTTTGTTGTAGTCCCACTTCTTTATTTTTGCTTTTGATGCCTTTGCTTTTGGTGTCAAATCCAAAAACTCATTGCCAGAACCAATGTCAAGAAGCACCCCCTATGTTTTCTTATAGGAATTTTATGGTTTCAGGCCTTTTCAACTCTAGTCTGTTTTGAGTCGATTTTTCTGTATGGTCCAGTTTCATTCTTTGCATGTCTGATTTTCCCAGCACCATTTATTAAAGAGACTGTCCTTTCCACATTGTATATTCTTGGCTCCTTTTTTTGTAAATTAATTGACTATATTTATATGTGTGGGTTTATTTCTGAATTCTGTCCCATTGATCTATGTGTCTGTCTTTAGGCCACTACATACATACTGTTTTGATTACTATATCTTTGTAATACAGTTTGAAATAAGGAAGCATGGTGCCTCCAGCTTTGTTCTTCTTTCTCAGGACTGCTTTGGCTATTCAGGGCCTTTTCTGGTTATATACACATTGTAGGATTATTTGTTCTATTTCTGTGAAAAATGTCATTGGAATTTTGATAGAGATTGCCTCGAATCTATAAATTACTTTGGGTAGTATGAACATTTTACAATATAAATTCTTCTAATCCATGAACATAAGATGTTTTTATTTATTTGTGTCTTCAGTTTCTCTCATCAGTGTCTTAAAGTTTTCAGTGCACTTTTTCTCCCTCTATAAATACATTGTGGTGGCGTATCTCCCTTTTCTTGCCGGGGCAACATATATCATATATGCACAGTTTAGTTGTTCAGGGATTTTAATGGAGATGATTGGATGCTGTTGATTTAATTTCTGGAGTAGTGACATAGATTACTGTCATACTGCTGAAAATTATCTTCCCAATCTTTGTTTTCTTTTGCAAGGTAGAATCAAATTTTAGAGTCAGAAAGCATCTAAGAATTTAAGTTTCTTTTACTGTGATAGAGCAGCATGTTTGCCCAGTTGAGGGCAGAGTAGAAATAAGCAAAGTGTCCTGTATCATGCCTTGGTACCTTTTTATGCTTCGTGTGCCCCAGTTATGAAAATCTCTATTTCTGATAAATAAGAGTTGTTTTCATTTCAGTATTTATACAATTGTTGATACCAAAAAAAAGGCAAATTGATTTGAGAGCTCAAAATATGAAGAGGTATTTCCTTTCTATCCAACAGTAATACAAATCTATAAAGTTTAATTTTCTAATAGAAGGATTTATTTGAAGGGAAGATAACTTCAATATGTGAAACTTGTGAAAAAACTTCCATGTATCCATCAATCATCATTAATTTGTGACTTTTCTCATTTTTACTCTTGTTAATAATTTTTAGGCCAAACTGCAAAACAAATCTAGGCATATTCTAAAACCACTTAATGGAAGCACTTTTATTTTTTGGCAGTGTTTCCTGAGGCTATAGGCGGGTGTTTGAGGAGTACATGCGGGTTATTAGCCAGCGGTACCCAGACATCCGCATTGAAGGAGAGAATTACCTCCCTCAACCAATATATAGGTAAGGAAATTTCAGTAACTTACAAAGGAATTTTTAAGTGAATTTTTTTCACTCTTGTGAATAAACTTGTGAAATGATTTAGTTAACTTTACTTGGTTATTATAATTCTTTAGTTAGTTTAATTTACAGTTGGTTATAATTTAAATAATGCTTATTTGCTCCAAATATGGAAGAATTTTTCTGTAAGAAGGAAAAGAGGAAGATCATTTCAGAGATGGTAATCCTTCTAAAGATGTGTTTTCTTATGTAATTTTTATTGTGGACATAGACTAAGAACTCCCATGTTTTTATAGAAAGTCAATTGTATAAAATTCTGTACTGTTAAAATAATAGTATTTTCAAGGCCAATGCTGTATAAGTTTATAAATTAATTTTTGATTTAAAAGTTGTTAAACATTTCTGTTTTAAAACTGCACAATAAACTTTAATAACTGTCTTTTCTCTAGTATAATTAGCAACTTTTAGATTTGATGTTTGGAAAATGTCTATACACATACACTTGAGTTATGAAATTTTGAAATGGATGAAAAATTGCAGCTTCTGATGAATTTCTTTTCTTTTGATAGACACATAGCATCTTTCCTGTCAGTCTTCAAACTAGTATTAATAGGCTTAATAATTGTTGGCAAGGATCCTTTTGCTTTCTTCGGCATGCAAGCTCCTAGCATCTGGCAGTGGGGCCAAGAAAATAAGGTATGTAACTTAATAGCTTTGATAGCTGTAGGTATTTAGTTTGTCAACGAAATATTTTAATGAATTTTTCTTTTTTTTTTTAAAGTACTTTTTGCTGTTTACACGTATTATTTCAACTTAAACCACTTTTTATCTTTGGGCAAAGCACTTAACCTTCCTTGGCCTTATTCTCCATATTTATGTATCAAGAATGGTTAGGTCTTACCTTTTTATTGTTTGAAGGATAGGGAAGTATTACTTTAGGTGTTATCTGGGCACAGAATAATTCAGTACCTAATTTTGATTATATAATTTGGGCCAAATCATATCTAGTAAAACATACATAATGCAGGCCTTTTGTACCAACTAATATGGGTATTAATGGCTTTATTCATATTAAAAATGAGATTTCCACCGGTTTATTTTTTATCAAAACTGTTTTTATTATTTGTTCTTTGAATCTTCCTGGGGGATCCGAAAAGCAAGTTACCTGAAGTAATCCATATAAGTATACATAAGAGTCTCGTGCTATGTCTTTTTTCCTTTGTAGGGTCTTTCTACAGTGCATGTTCTTCCTAGATCTCCCATCTATTTTACTTAAAATCATCTTTTCTGGAGAGTCTGCCTTTCTGCTTGAGCAATGGAACTAATTTTTATCTCTCTCTCGAGTGACATTGCCTAGATTTCCTTCTAAGAAGTATTCTCTCTTGGAGTCCTCTACCTGGTCTTGTCCTTCAGGTCTAGGCTGAGACTGTCTTCAGCTGACTCCTGACATAGCTGTACTTCTTTTTCTTAGGGAACCACTATTTCCAATAACAGGCAAGGGTTCTTAATGTAAACCTCCTCAGGTGCTACCTCTAATTGAAGTGTGTGTCTGCCCTGCTATTAACAAAATACTGATTTGCATAGGATTAAGCATTGCAAGTACCTATTGATGTTTTGTGCTACATTTGTTAATTCTGTTGATTCCAAATTATCTTTAGTGCATTTTACTTCTGTAGACGTCTAACATTGTTGATCTGCTGTGGAAGAGGATACTTTGAAAGCTATAGCTTTCATGACACTTCCTTGTGTATTGTTCTCATGAAAATAGACTTTTGTTCCCAAATGCTAAGATAACTTCTATGAAATCAGAGCCCACCTGGCTCAAGTAGGGCCTGGGGAAAAGCTCCTTCTCATCTGCTGTGGGCCTTTTGATTGATTTTTCTGAAACAGCTTGTTGTGAATTGACATCCTAACTACATTCTGCTTAGTTAGGTTATTTTATTAAATTAAAAACTTTCTGTCCAACAAGAGCTTTCAGTCTCTTTTGGGAGGGTACAAATTTGCCTTCAAAAGGTAAATTAATATAACTTAATATGCTAGTGCTTTCTAAACTACTTTTTTTAAGTTTGGCTTAAAATGATTTGTTTGGAACATGGACAGGTTATACTGAACACATGGAGTTGCTGTTTATTGCATCACTAGTCTCTTGTGAATTCATACATTGTTATAAAATGTGGAAATGAACCCTTTTTATGCTGGTATTCTTTTGTTTAACTTACTAAGGCTATTATGAGATCTCTAAAAAATTTATCTTTACATTAGGAATAACATATGTAAGTTCTTCAGAATGTGTATAAATGTGAATTAATCTTGTAATTTTCTTGTTTTGTGTACATTATCCAAACATATGGAATAGCAGTAGTAATTTGTATAGAAACTTAAGGTAGATTTAAAAAGAGCAATTACCAAATAAAAATGAGGCTATATATTTAAAAGAGTATTGTGTCTTGTCATGTTTTGATTTCAAACTGACTTTAACTTGTTGCACTTAATTGCATTTTCTTTTAGGTCTATGCATGTATGATGGTCTTCTTCTTGAGCAACATGATTGAGAACCAGTGTATGTCAACGGGTGCATTTGAGATAACTTTGAATGGTGAGTTCTGTATAGTTTGCATTCTATGATAAATTTTAAATGATTTATAATAAGCATCAGATGTTTCTGTTTTTCATAATTATGCTAAATTACCTCTTTCTATGGTCTTCACCTACTTCCATGGCTTTAGAATAACATCTGTATAATGATCCTTGAATGTATAGCTCTGGAGAGCTCTAGTCCTCTCTTCTAGGAGCTATACCCAGAAATCCTAAACACTGTTTACTCCCAAACTGTTGATTATGTCAGCTTCCTGTAATTCTTTTATACTCCAGTTTGCTCCTTCCCTGGCATTTCTCAGTTGTTTAATGGCACTGTTAGCATTCTACTCAGCTGCTCATGTCAGAAACCTAGGATAACATCACTTTCCCTCTTACTCTCCATATCTAATAGATTACCAAATTCTCAGTTCTGCCTTTTACATTTCTGCGTCTATTTATCTTCATTGCTAACCACCCTAATCCAAGCCAGAATGATCTTGTTATGCTCAAACACATTGTCTAAACCAGAGATTGGCAGATGCAGCCTATGAACTAACAGTGGCTTTTACATTTTTTAATGGTTAAAAAAAGAAGAATATTTTGTGATATGGAAGTTATATGAAATTAAAATGTCAGTATTTGTACCTAAAATTTAGAGTTTCATCAATGAAAAATTTGTGAAAATTTCTCTCTCTAGTTATGTAAGTACCTATATAATATTCTTGATTTTGCCTCTTGGTCCATAAGACCTTAAATATTTACCATCTGGCCTTTTACAGAAACATTTGCTAGCATCTGCTCCAAACAGTTGAGTTATTTAAAATAAATTTTTTAAAATACACATTTTCTCTTGTTGCTTTACTGCCTCAAATCTATTGAATGTCTTTACTTTGTTCTCAGGATAAGAACATGTAACATGGCCAAAAGGCCCTGCATGATGTAGCCTAGGCATGGGCAAACCATAGCCTCACGGACCATGTGCCCGATTGCCTGCTTTGTAAATAAAGTTTTATTGGAACACAATCATTCACATTCATTTATGTATTGCCTGTTACCATTTTCAGGCTACAATGAGTGTTAAGTAGCCAGGACCTACTGTATGTCTTCCTGAGCTGAAAATGCTTACTCTCTGACCCTTTGTTTGTTGATCCCTGATGTAGTCACTGCCAACTTCTCCAGCCTCTTTTGTACTACTCTTCTGTATTTCAGCTTTCACATTAATAATCTCTCTCAATTTTAATAATATCTCTCAGTTTTAATAACAGTAAGTACAAAGGCTTCTTTCTAGCCTCTCATATGTCCCTCCCATAGCATCTTCTAGGTTTTATTCTTAGTATACAAATGTGATTGTGTAGCTATTTTTGTATAGTTCTTTTTGTATTTCCCCCTACTAGAATGTAAACTTTGTAAGAGCAAGAAGCTTAATGCTTTTGCTCACTTTCGTATCCCCAGCTATGTGCATAGACATTTATAGAATGAATGTCTATTCTAGAATCGTCTTTAATTTGGAGGGGGCGGTACCGTTTATTTTTATAGATGTTCCTGTGTGGTCTAAGCTGGAATCTGGTCACCTTCCATCCATGCAACAGCTTGTTCAAATTCTTGACAATGAAATGAAGCTCAATGTGCATATGGATTCAATCCCACATCATCGATCATAGCCCCACCTATCAGCACTGAAAACTCTTTTGTAAGTAGTTTACATTGTTTCCTTTTGGAGGGGAATAGTAACTAGGTTTATTTACTTATTTTTTAATGGGGGCACTGGGGATTGAACCCAGGACCTCCTGCGTACTAAGCATGTGCTCTACCACTGAGCTATCTCTTCCCCCTGTAAGTAGTTTAAAAATACAATAACTTAGTATAGGTATCAGTTAATTCTCATGAATTAGCAGGATATTACATGTATGAGCATAATAGATATATATTATATTAATAATAGATATTACATATTTGTCACTTGAGTTTCCAATTTAAGATTTAACAGATGGATATTTTCTTCATTAAAATTTATGGGGGGAAGGTATAGTTGAAGCAGTAGAGTGCATGCTTAGCCTGCACGAGGTCCTGGGTTCAATCCCCAGTATCTCCTCCAAATGTAAATAAATAAACTCAGTTACCTCCCCCTCATAAAAAAAGAAAAAAACAAGAGGAAAAAAAAGAATTTATGAATGACCAAGAGAGAGTTTGGAGCTGCCAAAATAAAGTAAGGTTATGCTATTAATTTTAAGTTTAAAGCTTAATAATTGGGCCTATAACATCAATTTTTTTGACTGAACTCCTGATGGCTAGAATTCATACATTATGCTTCCTACATACATACCCTCTCCTTACCTTCAATAACTAGTTCCTAAAACTATGCAAATTCTTTTCACATGTTCAGGATAGAAAATTTATAAGCAAATGTATATGAACACGGAGAGGTGAAAGTTAATTTTGTTTAGCATAGATGTTCTCAGTTCTTTTCTGATCAATGAGTTGATTTTACAAGAGTGAATTTTGAAATAAAATATTCCTTTTTTCTGTGTATCTTTCAGACATTAAGGGATTTTTACAAGAGCAGCGTGACTGACATTATGAAGGCCTGTACTGAAGACAGCAAGCTGTTAGTACAGACCAGATGCTTTCTTGGCAGGCTCGTTGTACCTCTTGGAAAACCTCAATGCAAGACAGTTTTTCAGTGCTGGCACATTTTTGAATTCTGCACATTCGTGGAGTGCAATAATACTGTATAGCTTTTTTCTTCCCCAAATCTACTCAGTTAATAGTTTTTAAAAAAATGCAGACATTACCATTTGTACCTTTTTTTTCTTGGTCATATTTGAAAAAGTAGAAAATTGAGTTGCAATTTGATTTTTTTTCCAAAGATGTCTGTTAAATCTGTTGTGATTTTATATGAATTTTCCTTTTTTATAGTTTAACATTGATCTTTTTAGGACTGTAGCCGAAGTTCCAAATACTTTATAAGAGTTTATCAGACATCTCTAATTTGGTCATATCCAATTTATATAGTTTTCAAAATACTGCAGGTTGTGAACAGGGCATCATATAAGATTATGGGGGTAAATCCTATATCCAGAGTACTCTACCAATTTGTGTGTATGTGTGTGTGTGTGCGTGTGTGATTACCAGAGAACTACTAAAAGACCAACTGCTTTTTAAATCCTGTTATGTAGTTCAAGTGTCTTGCCTTGACCAATTTAATGAATTGATTAACTGGGCCTTTATACTTAACTCAATAAAAAACTAAGCAGATGTAAGCTAAATAAAAAGTCTGAATTTACTGCCCAGCGTACCTGTTAACGTTATATTTAACAGTTGTCTGCCTAAATTTTTGCTTTTGACTCACAGATAATTTCCTAGGGGATATACTTTAGATTCACACACAAATAATAGATCATTTACCATTATTAGGATAATTGAAACTTGCCTAACTAAAGAAAGTTTAGTTGAACCTCTTTACAACATTAATATTAGGTGAATGGATATCACTTGTCTAATAATTTAACTTGTCTAACATCATATATCAGAATTTTATTATATTTGAGAAACAAAATTGAAAAGTTTTTTATTCAGTGAATTTAATATCTTTCCAGAGTTCTAAAAAGATAGGTTTTTTTAAACTTAAATTGATAAAGGCTATAAGAGTAAGTTAGCAGAAATAGGACCATAATGTAGAAAAATAGTCATACAGCAAGTCATAATGTACTTCAGCTTCCTTATAGGAATAAAAGTGGTAGGTCTAGATTTGTTAGTGGAAGTAAAGGGACTTGAGGAAAAGTTAGACAATTCAACACTGGACTCACCAGACACTTAGCACAACCTTATACTTCATTTGTCTGTGAATATTTGTTGAAATGCATGTCTGGTAATAATCATGATTGTGACAGCCTCAAGATGAAACATACTGTAGTCTCTAGCTGAAAAAGAAGTTAGCCTAATAATTCACTGCAGAAAATTGATTAAATGCTTTATCCTTTTAATTAAGGCTGCAGAACTATTAACCTAAGATCATACAGAGGCAAAAGTCAATACAATTTAAGCTGGAGGTTACTTAGAAGTTATTAGTCAAGTGTAATATTTTGTTATCTTTGACTAAGGTTTAAAACCTTGTTAACTTGATTTGTACCAGCCGAAACTTTTGCAAGTTGAACACACTGCTGAGTGTGTGTAGGGTCTTTCTTCAGTGACAGACATTCCAGTAGTGACATTTAGACCTTCCAAACTTGAGCTTTGGATATTCCCATGCATCTGGCAGGCCAACCATGAGACTCTAAGATTTAATTCTAACATTTTCCATGTTTGCTTTGGGTAAATAACTTGTCTTTTGGAGAATAGCTTTAAGTGGCTTGGTCACTGATAAAACTCAACTATTTTGTTGACAACCATTTCAATATTATTTTATCTTTGGCCATATTTAAATCTAAGATTTAATAGAGCAGTGAAAAAATTAATAAGAAGTGTGAATACAAAAAAATATGGAAAAAAGGAAAGTTGGAATGTGGCTCCATTCCTAATATTTCAAAATTTATTACATAGTTGCTTACAAATTGGTGTGGTTGTGTCGTTTATAAATGTACTCTGTTAGAGGACCACAGAACATGACAGCAGGTTGGCTAATGTTATTGGGGTTTTTACCATAGTTGCTATGAAAGACATTTGTTAGATTAATTTTAAAAATGTTGGCAAAATATGGCTTTATACCTCATCAAAATGTGCAGGATAAATATGCTTTCAAAATGTACATGCATTGTTTACTTATGGCACTAAGATTAATAACAACAGTTGATCAGTCTTTACCACTTTCAAAATATGACAGGATCCCAATGATGATTCTTATTTTGAATGTTATTAGTTTGGGGACTTGATTGGTTGGCATTTTATCATTGTCATAATTTTAACTAATTAGATTTTTAAAAACAGCATACACAATTTTAAAGCATGAGTTGATATTTAATATTGAGACTTAAAAAATCAATTGAGAGAAACAAGAGGAATTGTAAAGTTTGGGAGCTTACCTCTATAGCTTTGTGAAAATAAACTTTGATTACACTGATGTGAAAGGAACGCCTCCTTTCTGGAATCAAATCTGTGCTAGAGCACTTTATATGGTAACTGTATTTAGGAATACAGATTTTACATTGAAAAAATTGTTGTCAGTAGGTGATTTTTCTAATGGCTTCTTAACCCAGTCAGTGCTAACAGCCCCTATCTCCCCCTCCCAGGCTGGCACTCAGATCTCTCAAGTCTCACCACTCTGGGACCTTAAACTACTTCTTGAGCCTTATGGTCCAGTTGCGTGTGCTTCATTGTTGCTGAATTATCCATAGCTCTGTGGTGTATTCTGCACCAGGGTGGAGCAGAGAGAAGCAGTTTACTCTGTTATCTATCTTTATTCCCAGCCTCCAGAATCCCTGAAAAAATCATACTAACATCCCCAAATCTGGAGAGAAATAAAGTGAGAGCTTCTCTCTTGACTGATATAGACAGTTTGACAATCTCAGAAGAGAAAGCAAAGTTCAAATATTTTTAGAAAATTGAGCTGAGCCTTTTCCTTCACAGTCATTGGCTCTTTTTCCGTAGGCTTTAGAAAAGCAAGTAGCAACAGACCCAGATCTGAACTGTACCTTGAAGAGGAATAGGAACTGGTCTCAGGTACAGTGTGAAGAGTGTTAAGTCACTCATTCTCTTCCAGGTCTTGTAGAATGTCTTCTGTTGCCTATGTTAAGCATGAGCAAAATAACAAACAACATGATAACTGGGCAAACGTGTTACAGCAGTGGCTTTAGAACTGTAGTGTGCCTAAGAATCATTGGACAAGTTCCTAGATCCCATCCGTAGGGATTTTGATTCAGTTGGTCTGAGAGGGGCCCCAATAATTCACACTTTAGCCAAGCTTCCAGATAATGACAAGCTGATGCTGTCAGTTTGTGGTCCACACTGAGGACCACAGGCAGAATGCAGGAGACCATGACAATCTGAAGCAGCTCAAGGAACAGAAGAAAATTTTTGCACATTTGCTTCAGATTTATGGAATGACTTAATAAGAACGGGAAGTTTAGCAAAATGAGAACCCAAAAGAAGAGAGAAACAGCATGAGAGGGAGATTATGTTTCTAAGAAAACAAATTGAGGACTTAATTCTCCCAATTAATCTATTTGATCAGTGCAATGTATTTGTTACCCTTTGTTGGGTTAGTATTTTAAAACTTTGGATGGATGTTTTAAAAGGAAATGTTTAATCTTTGAGTATAAAACAACTGATTTGATTTGCTAGATTTTCTTAGAGCAGAGCAGCCAAAATGCCTGCATTCTGCTTATATTTTATAGTGACAACTGATCTTGATTTTCACATAAAACAGGTTATTTAAATCCTTACTGTTCTGAGTAGAGAAAATGCGTACTTGTAGTTTTATTGTAGTCACCATAATAGAACTCTTTAAATCACTTGGGAAACCCAATCTGAACTTCATTAAGCACCCTGAAAGTAGAGGATTTACTTTAACATAACTGAAAAATCAAAATGTAAAGTTGGCCTCATTTCATCACGAGCCTCCTCCATAATTGGGAAGAAGATTGTGTGGAGCTGGGGAGGATATGAGGGGAATGAATATTTACAAAGCCCCAGAAAGCACTTTGGTATAACTTGGGTTACATTCCTATCTTTGGATTCTATTTCTCACTTAGTATTCACTAATAATTTCATCATCTGTTAACCGTTCCTTTTCTCTAGTGATTGACTTTACTCCTTCCATCCAACTTCCTTCCTGTTAAAGATCATAACTGTTTAAGACAGGTTTATGATTTTGTGATTTTAAGCTGCTTAGACCAAGTGTTTAGCTATTTGGGAATTATCTAGAATGCATGGAACCAGCATTGGGTTGCTTGGCTTGGTTAGTAAAGAGAAATGTTAGAACCTGGTCGGTAGGTTGCTACCAACACTCCCTGGAGTCACTGGCTCTGCTCATTTACTTTGCGTACTAGCAACTCTTACTAGAGAAAAAAGCAATTACCACTCTTTTGTTTGTTGCTTCTCTTGAGTTGCTAAGAGCAGGTCTGTTTGCAGGGAAGCAGCTGATGACATTTTCCTATAAACATTTTTTTAATGTATTAGAAGATGCTGTATATCATCTTTTAATAGCCCATAGGACCTACAGATGAGACACTATTTTTAAGATATTAAAATACATAATTATTTTAAACAATAGGTTACTTATCAGTGTGATTCTGCCAGTAAAGTTCTGTGATACACAGTTGTATAGAAATTTGGTGTGAAAGAGTTTGAGATCTACTTCAGTACTCTAAAGAAAAGACCAAAAGAGATTAAGTATCTTGCCCTGATTCTATAGCTTGTGGCAGTACGAAAACAGTAAGAAAACCCTAAACCCTTGATGAGGCTTGGGGAAGGAGGAGCAAAAGCAAAGAGCTTTGTCAGAAATTATTCCACATGGGAAGAGACGAGACAGTAACAAAGCAAACTTAAAAACGTAATCTCCATTTCACTTCACAACTATTTTCCCACTTTAAGATGGACTGGAAATTTTCACATCAACTAAACCAAAAATAAAAGTTGAGGGAGTGCAGGAGACACCAGAAGAAGAGGAGGCAAGTTGACACAACAGATTCTTGTCCTAACATAACTTAACTTCAGGCTGCAGATTGACTCAGACCTGGAAAGACCCCTCCCCTAAAGTGGATTTAGGAAGTGCAGTTTTCCTGACCGCTTGTGCTCCTTACTATTTCCATGATGAGAATTGCAAAACAGAGCGAGATGACCAGTTCTAGGCAAGGCAGTTTCCCCATCTGTAAGATGGGTTTAAAAACACCATACCTGCTTTCAAGCTGGAGTTTGGATCTTATGTCTTCTCAAAGTTCTGGCAATTTTAATTCAGTGAAGATGCTCTGTTCTGCTAAACTCGGGCTTCTCGTTTCTGCCGAAGCACAGGTCTGCCTGGGGCTATGGCCTGAGGAGACCCCTTGCAAAGCACAATTTTGCCAGAGGCTTATTTTATAATTCATTTAGAAAAACTACTCCATATTGTTCATGTTGCTTTTAACATAAAAAATTTTTTTTGTTCTTAGTAACTCCTTAAATCTTCAAGCAAAATTCCCATTCCAGGAAACTTTCTCCAGAGGCTGTGTGTAACCCCTGTTCCACTGCATCTTATTTTCCTTGGGGTAGGGGTGTGTGTGTGTGTGTGTGTGTGTGTGTGTGTGTGTGTACATGCTTGTACAGACTATCCTAGGAAGCAAAGTGATATACATTATAGTCATTTCCTTTAAATGTACATGAACTTCCTATATAATCTGCAGTAAAGCACTAAATTTAAGAATTATTACAGTAACTGAAGAGGATGTGTTCCAGGAAATTTGTATCCAGAAGACGCATTTGGAAAGATAATATGAGAAGTACAACTGAGTTCTAAAGTGTCACATAAAGAGAGTTACAACTCAAAAAACTAATTAAATACTGTCCAGAGTAAAGTAATGACAAACATGCTGAAAACATAAGCCTCTGGGAAGCTGTGATCAGAAGCAGCTTTGAAATAACTTTTTAAAAAATCTAGCGTTGGTGTAGGAGTGAATATGTTTTTCCTCTTGAGACATTTGTATTAATGGGTTAGATGGTAAAAGGTGATTAACATTCCAGACTAGTAGAGTCCAGAGATGTCTTCCCACAATTAACATAACCTGTGTTTAAATCCGCCAGGCTTCTACCTTTCCTTAGGCTGACTGAGGGGAAAGGGAGGGGACAGAAATAGCTTTGGAGTCTTCACTGAGGGACAAGCAAATCCACAACTTAAAAGTCAATCCTATTCTTGGGATATTACAACTTCAGAATAGTGTTTGCACTTAGTTTCTTAAAACAAGGTGTTTCTATGTGCTACATAACGTTGTGGATAACAGCTGTGAAGACATATGTATGATACAATTCTGCATTCAGGGAGTTTAAACATTAAACAGCAAAACATGAGAAGTCCTGATTAAAAAAAAAAGCCTAATCAGAGGGGCTACAGGCGTGGAGGGATGGGGCATTGGATCTAAACCCTTAAAGACAAAGTTTTTGATGATGAGGGAGAGGAATTGGGGAGGCACAGAGGAACAGCATTTTAGAGATGGGAAAGCACAGAGGCACAGGGTCTTTGTAATAATTCCTGCAGTAGAGGTATCTGGGAGGGGCAGAGGAAGAGGTGATCTGGTAGGAAATAGGCTGGAAAGGTAGGTTGGGGAAAGATGGTGGAGAGCACTGAGAGCTGAGGAGCTGCGCTTGTTCTGTGGTTGGATAGCCAAGGAAGGTTATGTACAGATGAGCAGGAGGATTAGATCTGGGTTTTGAGGTGTAGCAGCGATATGGGAGTGCGGAGTGGAGGGGAGGCAGAGAGGGAGAAGGGATGGCAAGGCTCTAGCAGTATTATTCTGGCATTGTCATAGCACCTCTTAGGTATTGGACCTTGGGTATATATAAATAAATTAGTTTTATTCAATTTTAAAAAGTCAATGTCAGCTTTTGTGGTCAGAGTCCCTTTATATTCTGGAGTTTTCCTTTACTTTAGAGTTCAGTTTATGCTAAAATTTATACTCCTTTAGAATTACCTCCCTTAAATCTAATGTCTCATCTTTACAATCCTTGGGTATCATTCAAACTGCTCTTTGTATCTATTTTTGCTCATTGGCTAAAGAACCTCCCTTCTTGCCCCGAGAGCATGAAATCCACTGTAATTAAAGTGTCTGGTGGTTTAGTATGGTTATGCTTTCTTGGTTTTTTGAGAATCCATCCTTGCCCTTTGTGACCCAGTCCAGAACATAATCTTGGCTTTAATCCCCAGAGACAATACTCTGTATGTCCTGTAAGTATTGATTTCATGAAGGACACAGCTAGATACTCATGTAGAGAGTGAATTTTTCTTACTCTGAAGGAAATTGTATGATGGAGATTAAACTGACTACTTTCTTGGGCTGAATGAGAACTCCATGTCAATACAAGTATGAGTAGGACCTAAAAGTCTTGTCTTGCTGAAATCTGAAATCTTACTAGGCCTGTGCTGGGCTGCCAGGTGC